TCATTAAATAGTTTAATGATCCTACTGCTTGTGAATAAGGGATCTTTTCCATAATTTCTTTTTCCTTATCAGTTTTAGGACACATGTCCTTAGACAGTTTACACATTTTCTCATATGGGGTTCCCATTGGTTTAGATTCAATCATTCTAAACTTTTTTAGTATCTTTGCAGTATATAATTATTGGCTTAAGTAGAGTAATATTCTCTTCTTATCTCTTATAATTTGTATACCAAGAACCTGCTCTAGTTCTTCTAAGTCTTTTATCTCAAATTGTAAAGATAACCACTCTTTGGTATCTTTAATAACCTTACAATCACTGCCTGTAATGATAATGTCATCTACATATAACACTAAAATGATATGATTACCCCCACTACTTCGAATGTATACACAATAGTTAGCACTGGTATTAACAATGCCATAGTTCTTTAGTGCCTCATCAAACTTTAAATATCATTGTCTTGATGACTGTTTAAGTCCATAAATAGATTTATTTAACTTGCACATTTTGCATTCTTGTTCTTTAGACTCGAAACCCTCGGGTTGCCTCATAAATATCTCTTCCTCTGATTCACTACTGAAGAGTGTTGTCTTTACATCCATTTGATGTATGTCATAATTATAATTGTTTGCTATTGTTAGTACAATTCTAATGGATGACTTTCTAGCAACAGGGAAGAAAATTTCTTAATAATCTTCCCCTTCTACTTGGGTAAAACCCCTAGTAACAAGTTTAGCTTTATACCTATCAATTGTTCCATCTGGATTCAGTTTTTTATTAAAAATCCATTTATAACTAATGGCTCTATGGCCTTCTGGTAGGTCTACTAAGGCCCATGTCTCATTCCTCATTAATGAGTTATATTCATCTTGCATTGCCTCCATCCAATTAGATGCCTCTGATGAACTTATGGCTTCTTTAAAGCTTATGGATTCATCATCAAGTTCTACATCATACCCATAGTAGTCATCCAATGAACTAGGTCTTTTAGTTTCCCTAGTACCTTTTCTAGGCTCTACCATAATCGGAATACGATTAATACACCCAGGGTTCTCATAGGAATCACTAGGTTGTCCCATTTGTTCTTCTTCTTCCTCTATAATTTTAGGTTGTTTTCCCTTTGGAATTACTTTATCCTCAAAGAAATGAGCATCTCTACTTTCTATGATAGTCTTAATCTCATGATCATAAAATCTATAACCCTTAAAATGACTAGAGTACCTAACAAAAATACATTTAATTGTTTTAGGTCCTAGTTTTTCTCTATTTGGGTTAAGGACGTGAGCTACACAACCCCAAACTCTAATGTGATCTAAATAAGGCTTTCTATGAAACCATAACTCAAAAGGGGTTCTATTTGTAGATTTGTTAGGAACTTTATTTAAACTATAAGTTGAGGCTAACTAAGCTTCTCTCCAAAATTGGTAAGATATATTAGCTTCTTGTATCATACTATTAACCATCTCTAATAAAGTCCTAGTTTTTCTTTCAGCCATACCATTCTCTTGGGGTGCAATGCCATGTTCCTTACAAAAACTTTCAAACTCAAGTGAAATATATTCTTCTCCTCTATCACTTCACAAAATTTTAATCCTTTTACCTAGTTGATTTTCTACTTCCATTTTATACTCTTTAACTTTTTCTAAAGCTTTAGTTTTATGAGAAATCAAATATGTATATGTATATCGTGAATAATCATCAATCAAAGTGATAAAATATTCATGTCCTTTAAAGGTTTTAGCATTTATTTTTCCACAAATATCAGTATGGACTATATGTAGAACACTTTCAGCCCTTAATCCCTTTGGGAATGGTTTTCTATGCATCTTTCCTTTTAAACAGTTCTCACATTTAAATTTATCGTTTTCTTCATAAGGAATTAATTTTTCTTTCATCATTCCAGACAATTTTTCATACCCAATATGTCATAATCTTCTATGCCATACATTGAAGCTTTATTGGACAGAAGAATCAACAATATAAGAGGAAGATGATTTCATTTCATTAATTTCAAGTTTGTACAAACTGCCACAAAGAGAAGCCTTAGCCATTTCTACACCATCCTTAAGAAAAGTCATATTCCCCCCCTTTTACATTCACTTGGACCCCATTTTTATCTACCTTAGACAAGAAAATGAGGTTACATGTCATATCGGGGGCATATAGGACATCATTAAGGGTAAGAGTATCCCCATTAGGAAGAGAAAGCTTCACGGTCGCCTCGCCAACATTGTGGACCCAAGAGGAGTTTCCCATATAGAGCTTCCAATCACCAACCTTCTTCTCCCTGAAGACCAACACGCGTTCCTTGCCTGTGGTGATATGCCTTATTGTACCCGTTTCAATCCAACATCCATCAGATGGGGTAACCATGAGATACTCTTCTACTACGACTGCAACATCCTTTGGGTGATTGGCTTCTCCTCTCCATCTTCTTTGGTGGGGCCCTACAAACTTTGGCAATATGACCAAATTTGTTACAATTAAAACATCTTAACATTTTAAAGAATTTTTCCTTTCTCTTGTCTTCTTTCTTTGTCTCCTCATTATTTTCGTTATTTTCTTTTCTCTTCTTATGATTGGGTCTAGCATACCCTTTTTGAGTAGCCAAATAAGCCTGCCGATGGGCTCTTTCATTTTTCTCTTTAGCCCTATCATTTTCTTCCATCCTAAGATATCCTCTTAAATCATCAAGGGTGTGGATGGTACCATTGTGACGCAAGTTTTTCTTAAAGTCTTTTCATGAAAAAGGGAGATTTTCAATTATCTTCATGATTTGATAACGCACGGATATGGGTTCTCCATGACCAGCAAGTTAGTTAGCCATAACAATTATGTCATTAAAAAATTCCAGCTCCTATTGGTTCTCTCTGATTTTTTGTTGGTTATCTCTTTCATAAAGTTCATGTTTTGCCATATAATTGTCCTCAATGTGCCTTTTCTCAATAGCCTCCCATAAGTCTTTAAAATTAGTGGAGGGTTCAAAGACCTCATGCAATCTATCACTAAGGCAATTCAAAATAGCACCTTAGAATGTAAAATTAGCATTTTTCCATTTCAAGTATCTTTGTCTCTCTCAAATTGTAGAGTCATCATCAGGTTCAGTTATGACTTCTTCTTCAATAACATACAACAAAACCATAGTATGAAGCAAATAAAATACTTTATTTTTCCAAAGTGAGAAATTATAGCCATCAAGCTTATCAATCTTTACCAAATCAGTCAATACAGCTCTAGGATTAGCCATTTTCGATGCAATTTGAAAACCGCTAAGCTCCGATACCAATTGTTGGCCCAAATACAGTGGATCTTTAAATTTTCAGAAGTAAATAGAGCTATATCAACATGCAAGATGAATTTTGAACTCAATCAGAATTCTCCACAAACATATGGCATGCTATTCTTATCAAAATACCCACAACAAGTTGCTGTAAATTTTTTGGAACTCAAGAGGATGTACAAATATCCCTAAGCTTGTAATCCACTAAAAGATCTTTAAGCAAAAATCAATTGCAGCTATTGATAAACTCTTCTAAGCAATCTAAAAGAAATTTCCAACAAGCATGCACCCATTAAAAATCATTCCAATGATATAAGAAAATACCAAATAACTATTTTCCTTGCTCATAGAATACTTCCCAACCTTCTTGCAAGCACAGTTTGATAGCCTTTTAGAGAGAGAAAGTGGCTGAAAATGAGTTTTCCAACAAGATTTAACCTAAGATGAAACACAACTTTCCTACAAACATTTGTTAACAATAATATATATATATATATAGAGAGAGAGAGAGAGAGCTCCTTCGAGATGCAACACGGTGCTTGGGTTGATCTTGTGATTCTTGAACGCTCTCATAAATATGAGAGGCACGTCCCCGCATCCAGCTCACCATGAAGCATAAGAGAGAGAAAGAGATTTTTGGGAGAGAAGGAGAGCTCGTGCATGGTGCCCCAGCCTCCCAAAACCCTTTCCATAAAGATAACTACAAAAATAGAGAATTGATAGACACATGTAGAGAGAGAAATGACAAGTGCTGCCTCCCAATAGCCCCTTGTCCCTCGCTTCACATGGGTCTTTCTTTCTCTCTCTACACAAAACACTAACTTATCTAAAAAAAAGTTTTAAGTGGAGTAGTAAAGAAAATAAATAAATCAGAATTTTTTGGGCTCTGATTTTGTAAATATTTGGACAGACAATTTTCTCTAACACCTTTCTATGACAAAAGCCGGCTCTAAATTGATTCATTTGGAAGGATGCCAATGCATCAAAAGATATCGGGCACTGTTTGGAGCCTTGTATCTGCTTGCTCCATCAGTGTCTAGTCTTATGTATATCCATCAAAAGGAAAATGACAAGATTCCTTCAATAACTAAGATGATGTTTTCCAAACACAATAATACAAAAATGCCATTGCCTTTTACAAGGAGGAGACCATGGTGCCTTTGTGTAATGCCATGTAAACTGGAACATGAGGAAACAGAGCAGCTTAATTGATAATCATTCAAAAATTCTTTCTTAAATAACATATATTAAGCTCCATACTTTGTGAGAAAAAGTAAAACCACTCCTCAAATCTCAATGGGAAGTAATTAAGGTACTTTGTGATAAAAACTAAAACCGCTCCTCAAATCTCAATCAAAATTATAGTTCCAGCACCAGAAAACCCTCAAATTAATCATCTAGACTTGACAACTATGAATCTGAAAAGAAAATGTATTTCAAACCCTAGAAATAGTGTGTTTAGCAAGACACTATCTAGACCTTGTCAATTTTAAAGTTATCATAGATCTGCACTATTTTTGGAGTTTCAAATTTTATAATCAGGACAAGATTTTCACGCTATACAAGGATTTTTGGGGTCTGAACTGCATTTCCCTGTGGGGTTTTGAGGCACAACTTCCCTTTTTATGATAAAGCTTGGGGCCTATGCAAATCGCGCCCTCATAAAAAATGTAAAACAACTCAAATAATCATAAAAAATGTAAAGCAAGACAAAAGAATTTGAAATAATTAACCACCATCCAGTTGCAACTTAAAGAAAGCAAGCCAGGACAATGTTTCTTGATTCTCAGACATCGGGCAGCATATCATTGATGCTAAAAATAGAACCATCCATCGGCGAGTTGAAGTACTAAAGCTTGAAAGGTTCTTATTGAATATCAACAATCAGAAATCATATTACAAAGGAAACAATGTAATGTCGTAATGGTTGCAGTCTCCACATTTTTTATGCGCTGGAATCGAAAAAGCTCTGTTATCTACAAACAAGCAGATTTCCTGTAGATATTGGGCTTACGATGCTGAAAGGACAAACAATTAGCCTCATCAGCTAAAATATATTTTGCAATTTGGGGCTTACAATGCTGGAGAAAAAGATTACCATAAAAACAAATATATTTTGTAATGTACATGCAAGTGTGTGAGGAAGTACTAAATTCTCTACAAGATAAGACCCACAAGAGGGTGGACTACCTCAGATATTGGCATTTTCATCCGCACTGAATCTAACATGGACAAGTCAATTTCAGCTATTGCGATTCCAGTTGACAGTCGATCTGAGATAGCAGATTACAATTCGTTAGATATGACAAGCTGATTCAATAAGAAAGTTTACCCTTAGCCCTCCAGCAAGCGAATATTGGAGCAACTCTCCTTCTTTCCCCAACACTTTAGTTTCATTCAAACAAAAGAATATAAGATAAATGACTTAAAAAGTGTTGAAATAAGGTTAGACAACCAGACAAGGAAATCACTGACATCCCAGATTTGTGTTCAGTCAGACAGTTAAATAAGGTAGCGACCCTTGACAGTTCATTTCTGTTTTACATGCACCCCATTTCAATTCTTACTTAATTCATGCTCGTTAATTTTGGCTAAAGCTCTTTATCTTTCCCACCTCTACAAATGCTAAATCATTCTCCAAAAGTCCATATATATTCCCTTTTTCTCATACTTCCTTTTTTGATAAAAGCTTAGCCAATGCAAATTATAACCAAAAATCATTTAGCTAGAGTAAATTCTTCCACAGTAGGTTTATCGGCAAATTCTGAATTCTGCTATGCTAAGGGATGAGTTCAATCAGGCTGCTTTGATGCTCATTTTGCTCTATTTGCCAACGAAAATATTCACTGAACATTTTCATGATATCAGAAGCAGTTTTGAAGTCTTAACTGTTATTATTTTGTTAACAACCAATAGTTTGGAACACAATGAATCAACTTGGAACTTGCCCAAGTTGACAATTCTGGCAGACCAAGAATCAAAAGTGAAAACAATTTTCAGGACTCTCCTGACTTGGTCAGTAAAGGTAGAATCAGACATGAGTTAGCCCTAGCTTATCCTGGCTCAGACCAGATGATTCAGAGATTGAAGCTGATTCAGATTATGGGTTTATAGAGCAGACAAGCAATATTGACTCAAATGTAAAGCAGAAAGTTCAAAAGATCAAACCAACCTGGAAGCCTAGCAATAACAGTTCCCCATGGATCAATAACCAAGGCATCGCCAAAGCTTTCTCTTTTTGTGTCATGCCACCCAGCTTGTGTTGGTGCAATAACCTATTAACATAAGGAGGTATGCCAAATCATCATCAAGCATTCCAGCCCTATATATACATATGGAAAACTCTTAAAAACACCTATAGGAAAAAATTAATAGTATTTCGCCCAGGATCTACAGGAGCCGTGGCGGTTTCCCATTTTTTTGCGTGAAAAAATACTGCCACGGACATGCTATGTCCAATGTAGGTCTATTGCGGTCTTTTAATCCATGCCGTCCAAAAAACTCAATCGGCGCGGAACCTATGGGCGAAAACACTGCTCATTTTCGCCTGTAGCCGTTGCATAGTAGCTTCCTATATATATATATGAAAAACTCTTCCCAACTCCTATAGGCGAAAATGAACAGTGATTCACCTACCATCATCGCCATCCAAGCTTCATCACACAGTCACAGTTGTCCGGTAGTGTTTCAATTTTTATTTTTTTCTACAAATACAAATTACTTGAAATTTGGAACGTATGTACATCTTAGTGAAGCGCACTTAATAAAAATATAAAAAAATAATTCACAAAATATAAATCAACCAAAATACCCCCGAAATTTTTCGAGG